CATCCAAATAGTTTTAACAATTTTTTGGTAGCAGTGGTGACCCTGATTGTCTCACTGGTACCGCCCAACATGCGCGGCCAGCTTTGATAAAGGTATACATTAATGGTGCCAGATTCGCAGCTTCGGGGAACCCCCTTTCCGTCTTACAATTCTTCTGAGCATGGTATTTCCGCCATTTTGAAGGGGCAAAGCGCCATAAACTACAAAGATGAGCTGCAATACCGTCCCAGACCCTCTACAGCGTCTTCAACCCGCAGGCTACGACAACTGCTGGCATCGGTTGCTGCAGTCTCGGCAGTTGTATTTATTACCTACGTATGCAGTGTTTCCATTGGAAAAGGGATAGCTGCAGTGCCGTTTGGCCGCAAACTGGCAGACCGCCGGGGTGGGGAAGAATGCGATGTCTCACAAGCCTCGCAAAGAACAGGGTCATCTGCAGAGACCTCCTCAGAAGGCCAGCAGGCTATGATCGCGCATATAGAAGCTCTGCAGGCGCAGTCAGGATATTTGGTGCCTACATCTTCAGCAGACGCAACCACCGCGGCGCCTGACAAAGTGATTTCGGGAACAGGGAGNGGCTTGAAACGGTGGTTGAGGAGACCCCTCTCCAGCCTCCGCCTCCCCCTCTCGATCCTGGTCTCGATTCGCTTATAGATTCCGTGTTGTTTGGAATCAATGATCCCTCGTCCGAAGACATTTGGCTCGCCGATGAACTGCAGCTACACCCCACCGCGGATTCTCCTTTTGGATCGATGCCCTCGAGAAGCGTGTCCGAATCAGCTGCTATCGACTTCAAGCAGGTGCCTCCACTTCCCCCGCTCGATCCTGGTCTCGATTCACTTATTGATTCTGTTTTGGCTGGAGCCGCGGCTACCGTGTCCAAAGACCTTTGGCTCACCGATGAACCGCAGCAACGCCCCTCCGTGGATTATTCGGTTGGCTTGCGGCCCGCGGTGTTGGGAGGTGCTTCGGAGACACCGATGGTGCCGACTCCGCACCGGCCTCCACCCACTCTCGATCCTAGTGTCGATCCACGTGCTGATTCCGTGTCGTCTAGAGTCGAACATCTCACCTCCGAAGACGTTTGGATTCACGATGCGGTGCCACTGCACCCCACACCGGGTTCCTCCAGCGTTTCGATGTCCCCTGCATTAGCAGGCCACTCTGAACTATTGGGCGGCAACCCAGTCGAGCGGAATATTGAATACGTGCTGCCCTCAGTGACATCTACATTGCCGGGAGTTCCTAAGAGAGTCATAGAAGGGAGGAACGTCGGAGNGTGCTGCCCTCAGTGACATCTACATTGCCGGGAGTTCCTAAGAGAGTCATAGAAGGGAGGAACGTCGGAGCACCGCCACTTGCTGACACGTCAGGCCACCAAATGCAGCCACGACCACCTGTCGGTGCTGAATCCGTGTACAGTGGCCCTTCCCCCGATGCAGCAGAGGTGGGCGTTTGAGATGAGTTCAGACCGTATTGTTAGTTGACACTAAAACATCCAGTGCGTGCTCCTTTTTGTGGTTTGCATTCGTGCGCATCGTGACAACAGATGGGCTGCAGCCTATCGAATGCATGTTGTGTTGTGTACGAGCAGGTGACAATGGGCCTTCCTCAAGCACTCACAGCACAACCGCTCGCATTTGCGAAAGAACGAATGGCCACCAGCTCTGAAGAGCCAGTTGACGATTCCTTGCCGTCTTCGTCGGGGGACTCTCCTGACTCGTCGCAGCTACCTTCGGGCGTCACGCTGTTTCAGTACAGTGGATCAGTTGTGCAGGTGCGAGCTGCTCTAGTGATGGCCCCGCAGAATAGGCTTATGCTAGGGGCTACAGGCAATTGTTTCACAGTGACTCCAGTAGCACGTNGATGGCCCCGCAGAATAGGCTTATGCTAGGGGCTACAGGCAATTGTTTCACAGTGACTCCAGTAGCACGTTTTGTCATTTGCGTAGCTGGTTGGTGGCTTCTAGCGTAGGAGGTACTGTAGTGCAATAGGTAGGATGGAAGCGTCCCTGTTGTGTGCTTTCTACAGCCAGCACCTGTGGAAGAACTACCTACTGATGCAACCGTCACTTCCCACTTCAGATGGCTCGGAGATTTGTTTCCTGCGATTCCTGTTGATGTCTTGAGGACGCATCCATTTTACCGTCACCCGCAAGGTCAGCAGTCACCGATCGCACGACCGTTTAATGAAGGGGTGGTGACGTTTTTTGCAAAGTTCCAGAAGTTACCGAACCCAGCGCTTGCTGAGTGCAGGGAAATATTGAAGAAGTCGTCACTGACTCGGCAGGATATTGAAAACCTTGTAGCCCAGGCCGAACGCGTATGCGGTCATGCAATGGAGCAGATGCGGATAGGCTATAGGCGTCCGCACCCTATGTTCGCTGTAGAAGCACTGGGAACGATATTTATTGTTCTCGATACTCTGCACTGTGTAGCAGAAGTACTGGGAGACCGTTCGATGAAGCAACATTTTTGGCCTCGGATATTCGAGCGCATAGATGCTGCAAGGTTCGCACCCGTTAACGCCAGCCCTAAGAATTGTTTGTCCGTGAGAAATGCAGAGATTGCAAGTACACTGATGACGGCGCTGGAGTACTATAGGAGGGGGTTGCGGCCGCCAGTTTTAATGGTGGTTGGCTTGAAAGCGACACTGTTTTGTAGACCGGGCTCGACGAAGTTCAAGGCTGAACAGTGGGAACCGTGGAGGCAAGACGCCGCGGAGTGGCGAGATTCCCTACAGCTGAATGTAGCATGGTCGAACAAATGATCAGCTTGAGAACAGGAAGGGGGTGTAACGGTGCTTGGTCACGTGAGCGCAACTGTATTCGCGCTGATATAGGGAGCCTCCCCTCAGGCGCGGCCCCACCGGGCAAGGCCGTAATGCCAAGAACTACGCCGTTCGACCCCCTATCTGAGTCGCATGTGCGTGAAACCAAATTTACGCGAAGCTCATGTGGCTTTTGCATGTCACTGCCAGTCATCTAGCTTTAACTGATTCAATCACGAGAATGAGAACACACCAACAGTCAATGAACAAGCAGAGTCANGTCATCTAGCTTTAACTGATTCAATCACGAGAATGAGAACACACCAACAGTCAATGAACAAGCAGAGTCAAGACACGGACACGGTGGTTGTATCATAATCTGAGGTTGGTATACAATGGATTTTTACTTACGCGGCTGGAGACTGAAGGTCACGAAGGTGTCAAGCAGTTGTCTCCAGCGTCCGTGCAAGCATCAGGACATGACACGCCGCCTCCTCTCTGAAGGGGCCGCAAGCATTTATCCTTCTCTGCCGAGGCCGCCTGGAGAAGGCGGGGATGTCACCGAATTTGTTGCAACTTATATCGTGAGTATTTCTACTTCATTGAGCCTTCCTAGTCCCTGAGTAAGACTGACGACTCACTTTACAGCGTCGGAGGAGTGTTCGGAGGGGTGCCGAGTGTAGCGGGGGCCCTCCAGTTTAGGTGGAGGCAGTAGGGAACTGCACGAGAGCCCAGTGTTTAATATAAGCGTTCCAAGAAGGCCTATGACCTTCCTTGAGCCTTCAGGCATCCTGGAAATAGCAGTACAAGTCGATGCGCAGGTGCGGCGATGAGTATGCGCCTCATGCCTTGCAACTTTTACCTTGCTGCAAGTCGTGCTGCAACGGATCCCAACATTGCAGGCGCAAGCAAGCCCCCCTTGCTGCATGCACTAACACAGGACGCAATTGCTGAACACGTACTTGTCCCGTAGTACCCGTCTGCATGCAAGTAGTAACACCAATTCTGAACGCTTCATGCTATACTGCGGGGCATTCCCGCGTGCACGCTTGGCCAAGCACCCGTTTAGTGCAAGCATTAACACCATAGGAAACTAGTGAGGCACAGGCTGGCTGATGAGGGCTAAGGAAACGCTGAAAGTTTCCTATCCTCATCAGCCAGCCTGTACCTCACTA